TGTTCGTCTTTGGTGGGGGCATAAGTAACCACGGCCACCACTCCTCGCCTCCGGTTGATGGGAAGGCGAGCCCAAAGTATCCTGGGGCTTACAGCTTCCCACACCTGACCGCCACGCTCCCATGCCCCCTTCATTATTTTGTTCAGAAGAAGAGCCACACCCTGTTGTTTGGCAGTCTCCTGCTCCGAGTAGAGGACTGTCCACCCCTCATGGTGGCAGGAGCCAGAACCGGTCCACCGGACCTCCTGAATGCCACAGAGAACCAGGCGGTACCGGTCCAGCTTCCGACAAAGGAGTGGCAGCCTCTCCTCCGCAGTGAGCGTTCGAACATTCCACGTGGCCATCCGCAATGGTTTTTCGTTGTGTGGCCTTACATACACATATGGACTAACACACACACATATGGACTCACATACACATACACATCGATGTACACACACACATCGACTGACACACATAGGCATACACACAGTGACTTAAACACTCACATGGAGCCATGCACACACATCGACTAACACACACACACATCGACTAACACGCACATAGCGACTGACACACACACACACACTTGGACTTGATGGGGGTGAGGTAGCTCAGCACTGATAAATGTGTCAATGTGACTTACATGAATTGTTTCCCTCATCCATAGCGAAATGTGAGCATGAGGAAGACGACGTTTTTGCCACCCAATGGTGTGCAAGTTACTGCTTGTCTTTCCAAAGACTCCGCCTTCGTTGGTCATAATAAGCATCATGAGATCATAAACCGAGAGTTTTAAGAGCCTCGCTAAGATGTCATGTCTGTCTGGTGGCTTTGGTTTGGATAAAGGTAAACCTGGATCTCCTTTCATTTGGGATTTCAAGTGAAAGTGAGGAAGAGATGGGGCATGCCATATTGGCTGATGTACGTCATGGCATCCCGAGTCTTCTCATGCATGTGTCTTGGTGGAGCTGTGAAGGATGAAGGCAAAATAACTACTCTGACCACATTGTGAGCGTTTGCATCTCCTTCGGCGTCCCAGAGATGAGCATACTGTTCACACGCAGGCGGTTTTGATTCAGTTGAATGTAAAGAAGGTTCTCACTCTCAATGTTGGCAATTCATCGATAACATACTGGTGAAAGAGGTTGGCGCACCATAATGTGTGGTTTTCTCCGCTGTCCATGATAATGAAGGAATATACTTTTTTTTTTATAGGAGACAGTTTTGTGAGGATGCAAATAACAAAATAACAAACTACGACTTTTCGATCGCAACACAAGCAATCGTCATCAGGAGAAAAAAGAGCGGGAAAGCTGCTGAGGCTGGCTGTTTTAAAAGGTTTGAAATGGGTGTAGCCCAAAGGTCATAAACGAAGTGGGCAGGGCTAGTGATGTTAAAAGTGAGAAATTTGCATGGCAATGTAAGGTCGGAGAGCTACCTCCACAATGACTGGCGCAGAGGTGGCTATTATATTGTGAGAGATTAGAATTTCAATATGAGATCGCAGAGCCACCGCCACATCGAGGACATGAGCGACGGTAGCTGTGTTAGTGAGATGTTGAACCTGTTAATGTAAAACCAGAGAGTCGAAAATAGCTACTAACATCAGAAGGTAGGATGGAAACATCACAGCCAGTTATGACTTAAACTGGTTAATAACGTCCTTCCAATGATTGCTCAGTTTTTACCCATCTTCTCGGTTGAAATTGTGTGTCTATATATCTGGATGGCTTCATGAACGAATCTTTGTTGATAGCCAGTGGGCTTGCAAAGTACCTTCGTCTTCGAGAAATAAATTTCGTGTGAGCCCACCGCATTAAAACAATGAACAGCCACGGCCGAGGTATTGGTCCTGCCGTGCGTCAGATCTGCCTTATGTTCACGAGACATGTCGCTTAGTTTCCCCAATGTAACTACTGTCCGCAGACACAGCTTAGTTTGTAGACGCTGAGGTAGTGCGTGTCAGTGATCACATCCTTCACAGATGAGATCCGATTACGAATTGTATGTACTGTGTTAAATCGAACCTGAATCTTGTGTTGGCTTATGATTTTGAAAATATTTTTAGTGACCCCTGCTATGTATGGCAAGATGATGGTTTTGATTGGGTCCTCAGATGGTTCTTTCCCAACGGTTGGGGTGATAACTTTACGGATTGTGTGGTCTGAATATCCATTAATATTGAGAGCTTGGTGTACGTGTTCCAGTTCCCTGGCTAGGTGATGACGGTCGGGGATACATCGAGCTCTATGGTGTAGAGTTTTGATGAGGGAATTCTTCTGGGATGGATGGTGGTGGGAGTCAAGTTTTAGGTAGGCATCGGTATGGGTGGCTTTACTGTAGACAGAGTGTCCCATTGAGCCAGCTGGTCTCTTTTCAATTAAAACATCCAAGAATGGTAATTTGCCATCCTTTTCCACCTCCATGGTGAATTTGATGGCTGGGTGTATGGAATTGATGTGGTTGAGGAATTAGTTAGAGCTGGTCGGCCATGTGGCCATATGACGAACGTGTCATCTATGTACCTCTTCCACAAGGACGGACGAAGTATTCACCACTCATCGACGTGTCCAAGCCATGCCCTCTCGCATTTGTTAACATAATTATTTCCCCACCATTCTTGTGTTCTGTAATCCACGTGTACCTCTTCACATCTCTCAGCGAATTCCAAGTGTGATCTGTGGTTGTTTTGCACTTTTCGTTTTTGTTTGATCAAAATTCTATATGTGAACAGTGTATGGGCACCGTGCCTTCAACAATTAATAGTACGATTGAACAATTGATGATTTCAGTCTATAGGCATTGAAAGTCATAGGTTTTTATTGCAAGGAAATTATGAGAGCTGGGCTGCAGATGAAAAAAATCCATCATAAATGTTGCATATTGGCAGAAAACAACAATAAACTTGCATGTATATAACTAAGTCATCGGCAATTAAAAAAAATAGATGAAATATTTAAATGAAAAGATAAAACATATATGAATTAAATACATATGCATTACAATTTCAAAGAATTGAATATAATATATCGTATTCATGGGAGTAATATTTAGTAGCCTAACCTGTGCCGGACATACCTCTCCATTACTTTCCAATCTGGATGTAATAGGTGGTCACGAATAGCACCTGACCATATTTTATTTATATATATTACCAGGTAAAGCCCACTGACCTATATAACTCTTAGAAGAGACCTGGCTGCAAATTATTTCTCAAATAAATGGCGTGTTATTTGTAAATCTATAGCAGTAAAATACTCTAAACGCATGTTTCTAAATGTGGAGGGAAAACGCAGAGGACCTGGAGAAAAATCCATATGACCGCGGGGAGGAGATGTTAACTCCATTTATACAGGTATCAGAGATCGAACCCATGCAACTCCTGCATTCGAGGCAAGGTAGTTAACATCTCGCCACCGTGGCGAGGAATCACGGTGTGTGTCTTTGTATACGGGCAATGTTTTCCCTTCCGTAGTCAAAACAAGTCTAAAGTACACTTTGCCAAATCATTGCAGTTCACAATAGATATGCGGCACAATAAGATGGCCCTGGTGGTTGTACGGATGGTGGGAAGTTGCACTCGCAGAGACATTTCTAGAAAGGTCAATCTTGGTTTTCAATTACAGCAGGATAGACAAGGCATTTTTGCTTTCTGAAAGCACCAGCCAATTCTAATTGAAGAGCAAGACGAGGGAGATGCTGCAGGGACACGACATAAATTCCTACCCACGAGTAGAGCCCATGAAACAGGCTGTCTTCAATCAGAATCACATAGTTGTGTCGTGTACAAAAAATTGTCCTGTAATAATAGAACTGTTCCTCAATAGACAGAGTGATTTTGCAAAGTGCAGAGATATTCCAGAGTGTGACAGTGATTCTGCCATGTAAACACGGACACGCGTGTGGCTCTCTTTACTTCACGGCCAATGCCACTGATGTCAACGCACCTCGCAATCACTTCTGTCTGCCAGATCTCTTAACTCTTGCACAGTTAGTAGCTAACCAACTGTGTGCCCCCAACACAGCGATTGTGAACCAAGTGTTGTGGTGATGGGGTCATGTACATTAGCTTCACTGGGTTTTCAGACAAAAATTACCATGCACTTGTGGTGTAGGCCATTCATACTGCATTAACACATGTTTCTTGCTGGCCTTAATAAGTACTCACAAATGGTAATTGGGGATCTCTGTGGTGTGTGCATGAGTGTGTATGCATTATGTATACTTGTATGTATCATGTCGGGGTGTCTGTGTGTTACTTACCTATATCAAGAGAGAAGACTCTTCAAAATGTTGAATTTAGTTATTCAGACACTGGATCCAAATATATGTCATATTTATGGATGATGCAAACCCACCAATTCCTGAAGAACTGTATTTTTCTTGTCTTAAATCGCCATCAATCAATTGAGCCATTTATTTATTATCATATGTCATTTTTCTGCAGGTCCTACGGTGTTTCCCTCCACATTTAGAATTAACATGCGTTTAGAGTATTTGGCTGCTATAAATATCCACGTGATAAGCCGCCTCATTGGGCTATCACTTGTGGGCAGGTTGTTTCTGAAAAAGAGCTATTTCGCTCATTGGGCCTTACCTCGTAAAATAAAATAATAGTTTAAAGTTTAGTTTTTAGATGACAACAATGCAGTTCTTCAGCAGGGAACTTTTGGTACACATACTACACTGGTTTCTGTTAGAATTAAAAAAAAAAAAATTTCCAGATTGGAATCGCTGTGCATTAATTTCTGGGAGGATCAGGGAAGCATGTTTTGAGGTGGAGTTTTCAGTACATTGTGGCAGAGTGGACATGGAGCAATGCTTTATGAATAGCATAGATTAGCGTGCTCACTCACTACCCAGGTGTGGATTGCCATGAATCTTACAGGTAGAACAGTGGCTGAAACATTGTGGGGAAACTGCAATTCAGGAACCCCACCATAGCTTCTCCCACTTTGGTGAATACTGCTGGGTGTACTGTATGGGGTGCAGTTTTCTCATGGAGGGAGGTGTGGACATGTCAATTCTTGGGTTAAATGTCCACAAGCCTGGCCATCAATATGTCAAACAGTGTGGACTTTTGGCTTGAAATCCTTTGTAAATTGAGCTTCCATTATTAAATAATGCACAAATATAAACACAGCTTAACACGACACGAGCATATAAGGTTGACAAACTCCCTCTCAAAACAAACAGATTTCCTTCCAAAAGGAAAATACCCTAGTCAGAAATTCATACCGGAGTTCCATAACTCAAGTTCCTCTTACAGATATATTTGAATTCGTACTAATCGGTCATGGCTGCCACCCTTGAGACAGGCTCCCTGCATTTTAACATTTTTTTAATAGAATTACGAAATGAAGAAGAGGCAACATAGATGATAAGTGGATCAAAGAGGCTGTTTGACACGCTCAGGCAAAGTGCTACATCTCGGAATGTGAGAAGACTCTTCGGAGAAAAAGCATTGATTTTACTTTGTATGAAGCCTGTTATGTGTGTTGAGTTATAAGGAATGAAGCACACAATATAGGTGATTAAGCTCACAGCTGTTATTTTCGCGGCATGAATCTTCTTTTTCCTACTTAACAGTTCTGTCTGCCCTCTTTGCATGACCAGTACTCTCACGACATTTCCATAGCAAAACAACGCTGTGACCAGGGACGCGAGGTAGATAGCAAAGAACAAATAAAGCCTGTACGCCATCACAAATGCTGCATCTTCTGCAGTGAATTTTTCGTAGCACTGGACAATCAATAAACTACCATTGTTAGCAGTGACGTTGTCGTAGCTAAGAAAATGTTTGACTTGGGTCACAGGCAGAATATTAATCAAACTGAAAACCCAGCACAGCAGGCAGAGGAGCCACGCTACCTTGGGTTGACGCAGGCGCGAGATCCGCAGTGGATGCACAATTGCCACATACCTGTCCACGCTTATGACGGCCAACAGTATGAGGTTGGCATAGAAATTAATGAAGAATAACATAATATGAAAAATGCATGTAAGTCCTGGCAAAGTCCATGTTTTTTGTCTAAAGTGATAGTCAATTTTTATTGGTAGAAAGAGTAGGAAGAGCAAGTCCCCCGCTGCCAGATTGAGCATGTAGACGCACATGGACGACTTCTTCTTTCGGATGAGCACCCACAAAGCGAGCGCATTCAGTGGGATGCCCAGAATCACAGTGATGGCGTAAAAGGAGGGAATGATCCAAAACTGAAAGAGCTCGATCACGTCCATTCTTCCAGAAAGACCACGCGCTGCTGTAAAAAAAGAAGACGCAAATGTTGTCTTTGTACATTACAAAGTACCATAGAAAAGAGTTAGCAGCAGAGTCATTCCATGCCAAATCACACAGCAACGACGGTGATGATGAAGATGATGATGGTCGTGAAGTATTATGATATTGCTAATGAAGGTGATGCTGAACGACCCCTTGTTTATTGTGTTTTGTCATGCTAATATTTGTTTTGCTGCACCTTAACGCGTGCTGTGTCTGATCACAGCATGTGCTAATTGTGCTAATCACATCTGGTGATTTCATTTTGTTGATTTTCGTTTTATTTCTTATTGCCTGTTACTCCTCCAATTGTTTGTTTATCAGTTTCAGCAATATGTAAAATTTTCACTCCTTTGACAAAGCATCCCTGCAGCATACAGATTTTTCTTTTGCAGTTCCAATGTCATCTGGCGACTGCTGTTACATCCTCCTGGAATTAGTACAAGCCACTCCTGCTGTCTTATACTGGACTGCAGGCATTCTACTGCCACTTCAACCTATTCTAGGGTTACCTCTTTCTCTCGCTCTTCAGTATTTGCAAGCAAAACAAATCTATACAGAATCCCCTTTGGCTAACAGCAGATTACTCATGATCCCGTCATCCGTGATGAGAAACAAGGAGGTGCATGTAATATCCTCATTGAGATAATGTGAAGCTTAAAATCTCCCTTTAATCCGTGACACTGCTTTCTCGAGTGATGTGCTCCATGTTTTCACTCACAGAACTCAAACTTGTTTCTGTGTGTAATGCGGTGGTCTGAGATGAGTTGTGTTCACTCCTCTAGGCTCTCCTGTTGAAATAGGAAAAAAAACGAGATAAGTGCGCTCATTTGCCATTCGCCAGGGCAACATCGTTTGATCGAAAGTGACAGCATCCATATCTGTGTTTCATAATTTTCAGAGGAACCCCTCTGTCACGTCACAGGGGTTGAACCCCGTCACTGGACATACCCCAGTAATAGCGATGGGGGGCTTCTTACACTCCGCTCCATCGCATATGGGATGATTAATGCTGGGATGCAGAAAAGCCCGGTTTCCTTCTGACCCAGGCTCACACGACCACAGGGCCCGGCGCCTGCTGAGTCGGCACTCCACAGTGAGCGACCAGTGCACAACCAAGTCGCTCTCAAAATCATGAAACTTAGTCACTTCCTGCAACTGCTTTGTCCACATCCGAGTCGTTGCACAACAAGAATATTAATCGACACATCCAGGATTTTAACAGGCGATCATTGTTCGCGAATGTGCAGCACGCGATAAAATGTTGCTACAAATCGCCGGGTAAATCAATGTATCGTTTAAATAGCGTTTTGTTGTGGACATGATCTCCCACTCCTGTTTTGTTCTTACCGAATTGAAATATTTTCATTGGTTTTCGTAGGCTTGATTGAAGATGGAAAAGTTACTGCATTTGATCAACACATATTCAGTCTTAGATATATTCAGGTGACGTTGTGGCGAGATGTTAACTACCTCACCTGGTATACAGGAGGTTGCAGATTTAATCCCGACACTGGTGCCTGTACATATGGAATTTGCATGTTTTCCCCGTGTTCGCATGTATTTGTTTCCGGGTCCTCTGGTTTTTCCCTCCACATTTAGAATCAACATGCGTTTGAGTAATTGTATGCTATAAATTTACACGTGATAAGCCACTTCATTGAGCTGTCATTTGTGGCCAGGTCGCTTCTGAAAAAGAGATATTTAGCTCAGTGGGCCTTACCTGGTAAAATAAAAAAATAGTTCAAAGTTTAAACTTCGATTTAAAGCTTTCGTGACTGCAGGGATTCATCTTCTTGGTTCTTTCGGTAAAGTCATGTGACTTTACCGAAAGAACTAAGAAGATGAGTTCAAAGTTTAGTTTATAAGATGACAACAATGCAGTTCTTCAGCAGAGTAGTTTAAATATTCCAGTCCTGCACGATGCAACATGCCACTTCAAAAAGTATTTTAAACAGGAATCAGCATCAGCATGTGTGGGATGTGACTTACAATAACCCTTTCTGTACCACAATGATTACATTATTTCGCTAATGTATCGTATCATACAATACACAATTTAAGATCAATACACAATTACACGTAAAATATAGCCTCTTAATACCCTAATAAATCGACTCAAATGGCACAAAAAGCTCTTACAGTTGCTCTTCAAACTATGCAGAGGTTCCTGTGTTATCTTATATTTAAGCTATTTACATTGCGAAAGCAAATATACAACACCTTCAGTAGTCCCCATCACGCAGCACTGCTGTGGTTTTCTATGATTGCCATGTGCCCTGGGAAGCTGCTGTTGCATTCCTATAAAAAATAAAATTTACCTTTAACCACTGTCATTCCAGGCAGCCTCTGGACTTCCATGAACTCGTGATGTAAGGGACCCCGGGAGTTTTTCATACCGGATTCGTGCTACTTGCATCTTACACGGACAATTTCGCTTAGTTGTGACTTGTTATTTTTGTGCCAGTGAAGGCCAGAGTCCTACAAGGCCCCAAAGAATTTAAAGACAATGTAAACAACAATTATATCTATATGATCGCCAGAAGCTTGATTATAGTTTACTTAATAAAGTGCTTTATGTTTCTATACCACATTATGCACATACGGTATATAACAGTGTATACACTTGAGAGGCTCCTGATAAAAAAACATCCTTGTTATGCTGTCATTGGGAAAGAGCAACAATAAGATAATATTAATCATGTTTAACTCCCGAACAACATATCCAATCAGGTTCACAATGAAGATGCTATTGCAAAACAAATACCAGTCTGATGGCCATCTAGAAGTGTAGCAGGTGTAACTTGTACATTCAACTCAGCAAGTCTTTAAGCGATGGTATATACAAACAAGAGGATTATAGAGTATGGGATCTACTCACCAGGTTTTAAAGAGGTCTCCTTCACTACAGCCCTTTCTATGTGGACCAGCTATTTATGCCAAGAGTTCTACAATTTGCATCAATATCTCACCAAATATGGTGGGACTGGAACATGTAATATCAACAAATGCTAAAGCCGTACAAAGGTTAAAATAACTCAGAATTGTGGGAGTTGTTGATAACACTTGTGCAGGTGTTGTCGATCAGTAGTCCAGTCAGCATTTTAAGGAAGCGGCATTCAGGGACACATTACGAAAGGCAGAGATTTCAAACAGCACTCTGACATCCGGTAATGAAGCAATACGGTCTGTTTACAAGGCCCCACAGCAGATGCAGCCAGTATACAAGGATCAGATAATCTCTTCCTCGAAATTCTTGGCTACTAATACATGCGACAAAATAGAATAATTGGGCTAAAATATTATTGTATTCCACTGTATTTTTTATCAGTAATCGTGGAATGCTTTGGTGTTGTTTTTCCAGTCAAGTCACCCTTGAAAACATATTAGCTCAATGGGATTTACTTGGGAATTCCAGTCGGGTAAACCTTATAACTTGTTCTTTATTTATCTTCACCACATAGAACCTGGAACACATACCAACTTACTGAAATTATTCTATTCAGGCACCCCAAACTGCCCTTACCAGCTCCTTTTATCTGCTACGCCACCATTCTCGAACTTTCTCTGTCTTTTAGCCAGATTTTCTGAATTCCCCCCAAAACGCTCCTCCAACCCCTCAGTGACATTTCTCTTTTCCCGATATTTTCTAAATTAATCTCTCTGCCAATCTGATTTGAATGTTACCACCCTCAAATCAGATTGTGCGCTCAATGTCAGCTGCCCATGTTAGAGACTACCATTGGGAATTGTAAGCATATAATTTCAAATCACAAGTCGTTACAATGGATGCGCTTTATTTATTAATTACAATAGATGATAAGGATATAATGGTTCACCTACTCCGCCATTTCCTGAATTGCCACAATTTGCCCTTTGTGCGTATGAATCAGAAATGGTTTAAATCCATAGATCCTCAGTGGTGTAAATATAGAGAATTAGATTAGTGTCAATCTGTAGAATCTGTATTGTATTGGAATGAATTTTAAAAAATCTGTAGTTTTATGAATCTGTAGAATCTGTAGAGCTGTGAATCTAGAGAATCGACACTGGTATAACATCTAAAACCATGTGTAAATGAAAATAGTTCCATAATGCAACATTTGATCTATTTTGCACGAATAGTCGTTATTTACAAAATAATCACAATGCACTGTGGAAATCTTCTTCTTGGATCTTTCGGTAAAGTCACGTCGAAGGGAAATAATAAAATAATAAAAATAAAACATAATAAAATATCGATTTAAAGCTTTCGTGACTGCAGGGATTCATCTTCTTGGTTCTTTCGGTAAAGTCACGTAGAAGGGAAGTAATAAAATAATAAAAATAAAACATAATAAAACAATTCTCACGACGTTTCGGCCACAACGCAAGCAGCCGTCCTCAGGCGAAGAATGAAACACCACCAAGCTTGGAGCGTATATTTAAGCTGGGTTAGAGGGGGGGGAGGTGGGAAGAAGAGTGCCTAAACAAAATAATTTGCATATCAAGAGGAATTCAGCATATGGAAAATGCGTAGGAGGTGGGCGGGGGGGGGGGGGTTCCAAATCAATACTATGCCCGTGCATTGTGCAGGATTAGCAGCATCAAAGGGGGGGGGGGGAGGGTAGCATTAACAAAGGAAAGGAATGTTAATAGTATGTAGCTGCAGTTACTAAACAACCACGTAAAAAAAAACTAAAGTATAAACTGCATAACAAACTAAAGTATAAACTACATAGCATCATCAGTATACTCACTATACTCTATAATATGCTTCCATCTAAACTTTAGATGGAAGCATATTATATAATTTTTTACAACGTAGAAATTTTTTATGTATTACTTACTGTTAGTAACTCAGCTTATTGTAGAGTATAGTAAGTATACTGATGATGCTATGTAGTTTATACTTTAGTTTGTTATGCAGTTTATACTTTCGTTTTTTTTTTTTACGTGGTTGTTTAGTAACTGCAGCTAC